CAGAAGCGATCTGGCGACAGGTAAGTCGCCAGGATCGCTTCTGTTGTAAAGTCGGCTCTACAAGTTTAAACAGAGTCCCGGCGGCAAAAGTCACCGGGAGTCTGTTTAAACAGCCCCGATGCTGGCGACGTACACTGTACGTCGTCAGTCACAAAGGGGTTAAAGGGGGTCTTTCATGTGAGGAGGGCTCCTAATGTTAGGAGGGGGCTCTCATGTAAAGAGGCCTCCTAATGAGAGGAATGCTCTGCGGTGTCGAGTGCTCCTAACGTGAGGAGGGGGGCTCTGATCTAAAGAGGGCTCCTAATGTGAGGGGCTCTGATCTAAAGAGGGCTCCTAATGTGAGGGGCTCTGATGTGAAGAGGACTCCTAATGTGAGGGGCTCTGATATAAAGAGGGCTCCTAATGTGAGGGGCTCTGATGTGAAGAGGGCTCCCAATGTGAGGAGGGACCTCTGATGGGAAGAGGGCTCGTAACTTGAGGAGGGTGGCTCTGATCTAAAGAGGGCTCCTAATGTGAGCAGGGGGGCTCTGCTGTGAAGAAGGCTCCTAATGTGAGGGATTCTCTGCTGTGAAGAGGGCACCCATTGTGAGGTGGGGGACTCTGCTGTGAAGAGCGCTCCTAATGTGAGGAGGGGGCTCTGATGTAAAGAGGACTCCCAATGTGAGGAGGGGGGCTCTGATGTAAAGAGGACTCCCAATGTGAGGAGGGGGGCTCTGTTGTGAAGAGGGCTCCTAATGTGAGAAGGGGGCTCTGATGTGAAGAGGACTCCTAATGTGAGGAGGGGGCTCTGATGTGAAGAGGGCTCCTAATGTGAGAAGGGGGCTCTGATGTGAAGAGGACTCCTAATGTGAGGAGGGGGCTCTGATGTAAAGAGGACTCCCAATGTGAGGAGGGGGCTCTGATGTAAAGAGGACTCCCAATGTGAGGAGGGGGCTCTGATGTAAAGAGGACTCCCAATGTGAGGAGGGGGGCTCTGTTGTGAAGAGGGCCCCTAATGTGAGCAGGGGGCTCTGCTGTGAAGAGGGCTCCTAATGTGAGAAGGGGGCTCTGATGTAAAGAGGACTCCCAATGTGAGGAGGGGGGCTCTGTTGTGAAGAGGGCTCCTAATGTGAGCAGGGGGCTCTGCTGTGAAGTAGTCTGCAGAGGGGGTTTCGAGTGGGGGGGGGGGGGGGGGGGCTCCTAAAGGAGGATTTTTTATGTGAAAGGCAGGTTTCTGATGTGAAATGAAGTGCCCCCTTTAGGGGGGCTCCTGATTTGAAGGACACTGATGCAAAGAGGAACCTCATTATTTTGTATTTTTTTGCATAGGGTCTCCTCCTAAAATCTGGGATAAGGGTCTAGTATGGATTTTAGCGGGCCCAATGGTGTTTTTTTTTTTTTTACATTTACGTTTTATACATATTAGACTAGGGTGCCCCAAGATTTTGCATACTTTTAAAGGGCGCCAAGACTGAACAAAGGCTGAGAAATGGGGCTTTAAACCAGCTGCTAGCAGGCCTCCGTAAGAGTCGCTATAAGACAGCGACTCCCGGATACCCGCGAGAGAAACATTTTATCCCCGAAGGGTTTACTCTGCTCTACCTAGCAGAGTAAACCTTTCACTGCTACCTGTTTTTTTGACAGCGGGGCCACCGACCACCGTCAGAGTAAAAAAACAACAACAGACTGCATGGCAGCTATTGGCTATTTCAATTTGCAATAGCCAATAGCAGGCTGGCTATTCTACCCTAGAAAATAATTTATAACCAGCCTTGGTAGCAAGGAGTACATGGGGAGGCTTACAACAATACAAAACACAAAAAGAATCTGGCTTCTACATATTTGTGGCCAAAGGTTTGTGCAACTAAAACCTCTGTTTTTAACGCATACTGTTGACAGGGTAACTTGTTTTGTTGCAGACTAGCTGGCAGGTTTGCTGGGGACTCTTTTTGTGTTTTGTATGGCTACTGTACCTGCCCAATGCTGCTGTCAATCAGCAGACGTGTAATGAAATTCTCCCTGTATACAGTCCAAGGGTGAGGAGTGTAACATACAACATAGCGTACACAGTGCAGGGGTCTGGAATATAAGCCAAAGCATAGTAAATACAGTGCAGGAGACATGACTATAATGTACAACACAACGTACACAGTGCAGGGGATAGGAGTATAATGTACAACATAGTGTATACAGTCTAAGGGGGAGGAGTCTATCATATAACATAGCATATACAGTGCAGGGGCCCTGAAATATAATGCACAACATAGTGAATGCAGTGCAGGGGTCAGGAGTATAATGTACAACATAGTATATACAGTATATTAGGGTCAGAAGTGTAAACATACAGCTAGGGGTACATTACAGTGCAGGGATTAGGGGTATAATGTGCAACACAGTGAATGCAGTGCTGGTCTATGCAAGATACAGCTTAATAGTTAGTGATATTCGGTTCCTTACTGCTGGTCAGTGGGAGGAAAATAAAATGCACCACAGGTGGTGCTCGAAAATTCACTAATAAAATCCCCACATCCATACTAAAATGTCTAACTCCCTCTTTACCTCCCCCACAGAGGACCCCCAGTGCCAGGGCGCCTGTGTTGGTGAACATAATTTCATCTGTCCTTCTCTCACCAGCTATTTTTTTTGCTTCCTTTCCACAGAACTGTTCTAGTGCCTGGCTTTGCCTCCTAAGTAGGTACTCTTCCACTCCTGCCACACATATGGGATTTGTATATCTGTGAGCCTTGCAATGAGGCATTGTATTAGCACTTGAATAAGATTTGCTTATTAATAAGATGAAGTCTTATTAATAAGATGAAGGGCTGCTGGGCAGAGGTAGTGACAGACAGACTTGGCGAACCTCACGCTGTGATCTTGGGACACAACGGTAGGGGGGACAAATGAATAAGAAGGAGGGTTGTCATGGCACATCCAAGTTGGTAAGTATGCAGGCTGGGCCTCAAACATGCCTGCCTTTGATCAACTTCATTCCATGGTGGATTAATGGGATTAGATGTTTATGCAATAACGATAAGTTTCTTTTTGCTTACTTTTACGCTCACAGGAAGTGACAAGGACACTGCATTGATGGCAAGATCAACAGGTACTATCTGTACTTGCTGAAAAAATGTTCTTAGCCTTAAAAGTGAATTGTAATGCAGTAATCACTGGTAGGCTGCAATATTTAAATTTTTGGGGGTTTGGGTTAGATACACTTTAAGATCGGAGTTCTTTAAAGGCTTGCTGAAAGCTTCACAAACACTTTGCATAAACAGAGCTTTTGTACAAGCTGAAGACCATGAACACAGCCACAGGAAGCACAGTTTTCTGCAGCATTCTTGAAAGCCCAAGCTGGTGTGATGACACATGCCAAAGTGTGTTCATAATAGCCTGGGCTCACGGGAAGTATAATAAATAATGCTGGGTGCCATTCAACCAAGAAAAGGGAGGTTTTGGAGGATGTCCAAATCTTTAGGGGGGAGTAATCATGAAAACTCCAACAAGAATTTAAAAAAAACATAATTTGAGTCACAAGAATATTGATAATCCAAGGCAGTAATTAACTAAGGAAGAATGTAGTGATAGCTGGTTCTTGGAGACATTAATATACATGACCCACACACAAAGGCAATTTGCTGCAGAATAATTATATTAAAATGATTTTATTGAAAGTCTTCTCCCAGTTTAAACATTCTCTTTTACCACTCTGACTATAGCTACTCTCTTATTCAGTATATCTAAGGAAGTCTCTAAATGAGACAAAACATGCAAAGCAAGGTAGTTCTGGCTTAGACGTTTGAGAAATGTTTTCTTGAAAGAAAAAAAAAAAAAAAGAGTGCTCCTTGCTCCTTCCCGGTTTGTTCCTCTGAGATCTGGGGGTGTCCCTTTGGGAGACAGCCTCAAGCCATGTGGTCGTAACCCAAAAGGTAAAACCTGCAGGACGACAGTTCTGAGGGGGGATGATTTAGCTGGGAGGGCACAGAGTGAAATGATGAAGTCATGAGCGTTCAAAGACATTAAGGGCTTGTTCACACCAAATGCAGACCAGATCTGCATGAGTTTCTGCACACAAAGTGCAGTGGGTTGGGCCTCGTTTTTGCCGCGTTCCGGGCCGTTTTTGGTAAAAAAATATTGGTATTTTTTAGTTTAAAATAGGCTTTCAGGGCGTTTGCATGCGTTCCCGAGCAAATAAAATAGGACCTGCTGCAGTTTTTTTTACATGCTCTGGAACTGAACGCAGTGGTGTGAAGTAGAGCCCAAAATACCATCTGAATACATTGGACGCAGTTTTGATCTGGTCTGTAACTGCTCTGCTCTTGGAACGAGCTTGGTGTGAACAAGGCCTTATACTGAGTACAAACTCACCACTGCCAGGTGAGGGACCCTACCTTTTTGTATACAGGAGAAGTAAACAGTTACAGTAATCTGTCATGTATCTTTGTCTTGTCTCTTCTTGTGTCTAATTGTTTTATTCATGACAGAAGGGAAATGGGGCAGATATTTTTATTTTCTTTATTACAGGTATTTATATAGCGCCGACAATTTACGCAGCACTTTACATAGTTGCACATTCACATCAGTCCCTACCCTCAAGGAGCTTACAATCTAAGGTACCTATATTACATGCATACATACAGGGTCAACTTAGAGAGGAGCCAAGTAACCTTCCAGCATGTCTTTGGAGTGTAGGAGGAAACTGGAGTACCCGGAGGAGAAAAGTACAGGGAGAACATGCAAACTCCTTGCAGATAGTGATTTGAACCGGGGACCCCCAGTGCTGCAAGGCAGAAGCGCTAACCACTACGCCACTGTGCTGCCCAGATATAGCTCACTTCAGTACCTGCTTTTACATCAACCCTTATTTCTCCTCAGATGAAAGTTGGCCATGCATATAATGACACAACTGTTCAACATATTAATGATTCGGATGAAAATATTGTATCTTTCAGAAACCAATTTCTTGATTTATTTGAAAAGAAACCATAAGTCCTTGTGGTAAAACTCCAATTTTGCCAAACAAATCTTTTCTTCACCAATGTTCATTTTGGAAAAATAGATCTTTGACCTACGATGGTTAATCATTTCATGAATGGCGAGCATTGCAGTAAGTCAACTTTTTAATTGAACTTACCTTGTTAGTCCATTACTGCTGTATAATCAATAGATAAACACTTGGATAATCGGTGACAAGCTACAATTTGTACTGTGAAATAAGAAAGGATGCACATATCTAAATTTTGAGTTATCTCTTTATTATTCAGTGAATCATTTATCTTTTATTAATCCTGAAAGAGAAAACTCCAGTGGCTGAAGAAGTGATAGAGCTGTAGCTTAATGCTTGTTCATCAAGAGTCCAGCACAAGTCAAATAAGGCCACTTTCCCCCCCCAAAAGAATGGCAATGGGAACATACACACATTCAGTGACTTAAGTCTGTGTTCCAATGGCTTGTGTCTCCAAAAAATTAATCACACACATGCGCTCGCAGACACACATTCTCTAATCTTTGGGTGATTTTTACATCTGCAAATTTCCTCCAGTGAACAGCATTAACCCACCTCCCTCCCTCCCCCACCCCAATAATAAATAGGAACATTCCAAGTGTCTGAAAAAATGTCCAAGAGAGACAAGGACCTTCATAAAACACATACAGCATGTTTTTATCAGTAGTGCACTCCAATGTATCCCGGGGCTCGCCACTGTCCTCATAATGCCATGCTTACAGTGAGGCACATTTGCTGTTTCTGTATAGCAGAGAAATTCTGTAGTTGAATTTTTCAGAATGATGATGAATTGCAGCAGCAGGTAGCCATGCAAGATGACACAGCCAATATACCAATAGGCAGCAGTAATGTGCTGTGCATTTGAGTCCAGACACTTTACACCTTTCCATATTGTGCTTATGTTCACAGCAAAGGTACAAACATGTAGTATATTGTCCACATTTGCAGTGCCTCTGATATTGCCTCAATGCTGCAGTACTGTTTATTCAACCTGTAAGGGTATGATCATTTTTCCATGGATTTTTAGGTGACTGTCAAATCCTTAGAGTTAGGGAATAAAGAATATTGCATGTTTAGGCTTCTAAAAACTCGAAAAAGCCATTTTGTTTTTTTCCTAGGCCCATCTAATTTTTCTTTCTTTACCAGGACTGTCCTTGTCCTGAGTTTATGGAAAGACTTTGCTTCTCTGCCATATTCAGGATAAGCCTCATTGTGATGCTAGAGTCCCCTGCTTCAGCATACTCGTGCTCCCCCCGACATTCGGTGCCACAGAAGAAACATGGTCACATATAAATGAACCTCCAAGAATTTTTTTTTAATATGGGAGGTTGGATGCATTGCAATTGCCAGAGGCAGTGAATGGATGTAACAAACAGTCTATTGGCAATAGAAGACCCCTCTGTTCTGTCTCATGGCTCCACCATACTGCTGGTTTGTTTTTGTTATTTTGACAGAAGCAGAAGCCTGGGAAAATGGCACTTCAAGTGCTCTTTATCTATATGCACATGTTCCGACCACTGCAAAAGTTGTCACTGCTGGGACAGGATGGCGCTTCGGTTGGCTTTCATCTTCTCCAGCCTCTTTACCAAATGGCTATTGCCTACTTCAAGCTCCTCAATCTTATCTAAGGCTGTACGGAGCTGTGTAAGAAGATGGAGAAAAAAATAAGAATCCATTAATCATGTGAACTGATTTGTTTCCCTAAAAAAACACCCACTGTAAATGCTGGGAGAAAATGAACCCCAATTGGGAAAATGTAACTGCAGTTTCATAAGTAAATCAAGTTTCTTCAAGGGTCCACATATCTACATTTACCTTTTAAAACAAAAATGTTCTGGGTATTTTGTTGTGTTTTGGGGCATTTAATTAAATTTTTCACTAAATATTGGGGTTTAATAAGGAGTTGCGCTAATATTGCGCAACATAAAAATTTGCAACTACCACCATTTTATTCTATAGGGTCTTGGCATTCAGAAAATATATAATGTTGGGGGGTTTTAAGTAATTTTCAGGCCTAAAATGTGGAATATAACATGGGTACAAAAAATGAAAAAAAGGCCTCAGTCATGAAGGGGTTAAAACCGAACCTGTCCATGTTGAATGTTGAATGTTTTAGATGTTAAAATAAACCTGTCACTAACCTAGGCAACTCATGCACGGATTAGGTTGGAAAAAAATACACAGCGAGTAGACTTCAAGGATCAATTCTAATCTAGACATTTGCTGGACATAAGCATATAAAAATGGTCCTTTTGACTATTGTATGATGCTTAAGCTACAGCTATTTAACCAAGAACAGCAAGCAAACAACTATTGGCTAGGACTGGAGTACCATGCAATCTTTCAGCTGCCTTAATACGTCTGAGTGAGACAGGTACTCAGGCTATCTGATCTGTTTGCTATGTTAAAGTATCTAAACCCAAGGACCTATAGCCCAAACCACCATTGTGTGGCGTTCAGCTAAATGTCATAGTATGCACGTAGTAAAGTATTACAAAAATAAGGAAACTATTAAAACCGCTTAAAGCATCAATATTCACCTCCCTCTGTAATCTTCGTTTTTCAGCTTTTAATTCATCTTCTATTTTTTCAGCATTTTCTGTAGATGTTTTGAATCGGGACAACTGACTTTCCAGCCGGATAATCTGACACATACATTGGTAGAAAGTTTAAACAACAAGCACTACCCTCCCCGATTCATAAAAGAGAACATTTCACAAATAACAAAAAACAATCTATTGGTACATAGAAAATGTGAACAAAAAGGGCACAGAGATCTTTTACCAGTGAGCACTGCCACTGAAAAAACGAAAATTCTATCATGTCCCCTTGATGGCTCTGGTCCATGTCCAAAGGCCCATTGAAGGTCTTTGAGAGGATGGAACAAGAGTTTGCAAGGAGAGTAGGCTGCAATGGAATATAATCTAGGCCCAATATACCCTTACGTGTCTATAAATACTGCAAGATTTATTTTCTTACACACACACAATATCTAAGACAGCCAGAAGACTGTAGAACATTAGGTCAATACATAGTTCAAATGCTGGGGTCGTGTAAGAGGAAGAAAATAGTTAAAATGCCCAGGATGTTCGACTACTTGAAGAAACTCTATACTTCTCCTGACTTATACCCAACATTGCAGGATTTTTGTTCAGTCTCTAGAAGAACTTACATTCTGTTCTAAGGCAGTTATTTCTTGTGTGGATTTGGTGAGTTTGAATTTTAGGTCACTGATTTGTCTGCTAACATCTCCTGAAATAACAAGAAATAAGAATATCAGCAGCAAGTTCAGTTCATGATGTAACACAGAAAATCTATAGAATGAAAGATGAACACCTGAGGCCCTACAACCTTCTAATGACTATGGAAATATTCTGTACAAACTATGACATTATCAGTGCACAATGAAAAGACTATCCAGTGTAAATAATGGTTTGCGACCTTTAGTATATGGAGTGGTGTTTTCCAACAAGACACCAATTTATATATACACTATATTGCCAAAAGTATTGGGATGCCTGCCTTTACACGCTCATGAACTCTAGCCCCACTACAAGGGTTAATTTGTTTTTAACTGCCAAGAGTTCTTCTTAAACTATGAAAAGGTGCAGAACCAGAAGAAAAAAAAGGCACCCCCACAAGCAATATCAGGGACCAGTGAGAGGACCAATTTACAAACATATCTTTAAAAACTTGTCCCCCAAGATATTTATATGGGTTGAACTAATCCTTAAAAAGAAAAGCTCCAAATATAATGAGTACTTTTAAAATTGAACGTAAACTTAAGAAAGTAGCAAAATTAAGAAAGTGTTAGACATTCGTTCTAATATAAGAACAAATAGAAATATAACTGTGTCAACGGCGCCAATTTGACTTCAGATTGAGATGCTTCTGAGATCATTCAGGAATTATTGACCTGCAGTAGAAATCGTTCTGACCTGCTTCAAGTGGGTTTGGCATGCCTATAGACCTGACTGGTATTGGGGAAAGAAACCCAAGTCCTAACAGTTAAGGTGTATGATAAAAAAAAAATATACACACTAAAAAGGTGCAAAATCATACCTTGCTTTTCAGCATAATCCCTGTAATAGCACAAGTGCATTCAAATCATACTTTCCAAAAGTCACTTTTTGCATAAGCTTAGGTATGCCTCTGTGTCCCCTATTTGACAGTACTCAAGCATGGAGCGTTGTCATGGAGGTCTGGGGGCTGACATATCGACAGTGCCCATATCCCATATGAGGAGATTTTTCTGAAGGATCTAGTGTGCTGCCACAGGGTTTATAGTAATATGGTGGGGATAGGAGCTGGCCTGCTTTTCAGCACACAGTGTAACTTTGTAAGTTTAAAGGAACGAAACAAAAAAAAGAAGTTTGAGCACCTTAGGCAGCAGAAATAGGTGTCTGGAGCATAAACAGATATACAGTATACAAAAAAACATGCAAAAGGATCTGTTCCAGCCACATCTGGAGCAGATCCTTTTGTGTGTTTATTTACAAACATCTTTTGGGATCACTCCACACTTTAGAAATACAGCATCGTTTTCCTTCTTCCAAAAATTGAAGCCCCGATGAAGAAGGGTCCTTTTGGTCCCTAAAATGGCTTTTATTTAACAGAACTTGCAATATACAGTGGCTTGTAAAAGTATTCACCCCCCCCCCTTGCATTTTTCCTATTTTGTTGCATTACCACCTGGAATTAAAATACATTTTTTGGGGGCTTATATCATTTGATTTATACATGTCTACTAGACATGTGCATTTGGATTCAGACGAACCTGCAAATCAACGAAAATCAGTTGATTCGGCGGTTCGTCCGAATCAAAAATAAACACATTTATTATACGCCCGAATATACAAAAACTATATTCGGGCATACATAAATTAATTTTCAGAACATGCCCGCCGCCATCTTGGAGGCGGAGCGTATGATGTCACACGTTGAACGAGCAGTGGCCATATTGGCCGCCAGCACGTTCTGTGCATGCGCTCCGCCATTTTGGAGTATATCTTGGTATACACCAAGATAGCGGCGCTCCAACATGTGGGCACCGCCATCTTGGTGTAGACCAAGATATACTCCAAAATGGCGGAGCGCATGCACAGAACACGCCTGCGGCCAATATGGCCACCACTTGTTCTGTGGTTTTGGATTTGGAGGCTCGTTGCCTCCGAATCCGAAACATAAAAATGTGTTCCCTTTTGACGAAATGAATGAAAATGACTTTCGCTTTCATTTTTTTCGTCTGAAAACACTTTTTTTGTTGTGCACATGTCTAATGCCTACCACTTTGAAGATGAAAAATATTTTTTATTGCGATACAAACAAGAAATAAAAAAAATTAAAAAACAGAAAACGTGAGCGTGCATAACCATTCACCCCCCAAAAGTCAATACTTTGTAAAACCACATTTTGCAGCCATTACAGCTGCAAGTCTCTTGGGGTACGTCTCTATAAAGCTTGGCACATCTATCCACTGGGATTTTTTGACCATTCTTCAAGGCAAAACTCCAGCTCCTTCAAGTTGGATGGGTTTCGCTGGTGTACAGCAATCTTTAAGTAATGCCACAGATTCTCAATTGGATTGTGGTTTGAGCTTTGACTAGGCCATTCTAAGACAGTTAAATGTTTCCCCCCAAACCACTCGAGTGTTGCTTCAGTAGTATGCTTAGCGTCATTGTCCTGCTGGAAGGTGAACCTCCGTCCCAGTCTCATATATCTGGCAGACTGAAACAGGTTTCCCTTTAAGAATTTCCCTGTATTTAGTGCCATCCAACATTGCTTCAATTCTGACCAGCTTGCCAGTCCCTGCCGATGAAAAACACCCTTAACTAATTTTCTGACTTCTGAAGGTAATTGGTTGCACCAGATCTTATGTAGGTGCTTCATACCAAAGGGGGTGAATACATTTGCACGCACCACTGTTCCATTTTTTATAATTTTTGAAAACAAGTTATTTTCTTGATTTCACTTTACCATTTTAGACTATTTTATGTGTTCATTACATGTAATCCAAATTTATTTATTTTTTTATTCCTTTTTTTGGCTAAAATTAGGTACCTCGGCTTATATTCGGGACGGCTTATACGCGAGTATATACGGTACCTTAAATGATGTCTCTTAATCCGATCTTCTTCTTTCCTGTTTTCAGCCTTCTCTCCAGCGCTGCTGCGGCGGCTCTCCGATCCAGCACTGACTCCTTTGTCCTTGCTGGCACTTCCTGTCCCACGGTGTCTGCATGCGGGTGCACGCGTCCATAGACTTACCTTGCGTTCCTCCTGACGTCCCGGCAGAAAATGTCCCGGCCGAAAATTTGAAAATTCTTGGGTGGCCGAAAAGGATCTTGGGGCAAGATCCTTTTCGGCCACCCCAGAATTTTCACATTTTCAGACGGGAGCACGCAGGGAAGACAGAGGCAAGTTTAAACCACTGTTAAAGCGTTTTTTTAAAAACTTTTAGCATATATCTACTGCTTGCTAGCAGTAGATATATGCAAAAAAGCTGAGGGTTTAGAAACCCTTTAAGCACAAGTTACTTAGCTCATGTTTAGCAAAGAAGCTACATGAGATAGTAGAAGAGAAGCATTCCAAAATGTTCTGCGGAAACATGCTCTATATCTCAGAGTGGCCACCCAATATGGGGAACACATGGACCAGTACTATTCCTACCGAGGCTTCCCGTCTATCCTAGAACAAGTGCTTGGTAATACCCTTCCTGCTTTAGTTTTATATGGATAAAAAGCTGCCATTCTTTGTCAGATTAGGTATAGAAGAATAAAAACAAGCCTTCAGCTGCATTTTGCCATGTATGAGATCTAGATGTGAATACACCCTAAGCAGGAATAAAGCAACCTCCAGGTAAGCTTGCCAAGATGTGCCACGGGCAGGGCCCTCCATCTCGTCTTGATTTGTATTGGAACTGTAAAGCGCTGTGCAAACAGTGTCCTGAATAATAATATAGATGCACTAACTGATTAGAGCGGGACAGTACAATACAGAAGCACCTTGATGAAGCCCTGCATGTTTTTCATGTATTTGCAAATGTATGCTGATTCTAAGTGTGTGTGTAGTGTGTGTGATGCCATTTCAAATGGCATTTTAGTTAAATGGAGCTTTGGAAGGATTAGAATACCTCTTTTTAATAAATGCCACATCTGGAAAAAAAAAAACTTTACAATAGTTATAAAGGAAATTTCATGGTTAACAATAAAAAAAACACACAACTTTACAATGTTATGCTGCTAAGAGACTACATATAACAAGTGTGGATTAAGCCTTGGAGTAACTGCATACTGTAAAACCAATTATTATGTTCTCACATGGGATGTCATAAGTATGCTGTTTTATTGTACACATGTGCCTAGATGTAGACCAATTGTAGGTCATAAAAAGCAAACATCAAGAAGCAACGCTTTAATATATATTTAGTTACAGGTGGGTATAACTCGCTCACTTTGCACATCAGTGCCATTCTCCATATCGTCCCCATCTGGGTTTTCAGGACTTCTGTTTCTGGAGTTTCTCTCTTCTAGTTGGCTTTTCAGTCTTTTAATCTGGGGTGAAAGAATTTTCAAATGTAGGCATTGAGCTCAACACTTGCCATGATTACGTCACAAGGACATACCACAATATCTAGACATAACACGAAAAGACATATGATGCTTGTGTGGCAATATACTTCCTTCAAATATGTGCAAACAGTAAGTAATAACTGATCAGTTAGTATTGATATTGGTGAAGTTCACCCTAATTGACAGCTTTAAAATACTTTTTATTAAATAACAACACATTACAAAATAAAACATATGCCCCAGATAGGTTATTACTATATACAATCTACATATGGTAGTCAATAGGTTGGTGCACAGTTACTCTTGTTATACGGTAACCGGAAACCTCATATTGTTTTATTTGAGTTTAATCCAGGGGCGGAACTACTGCCAGTGCAGCTGCACCATTACCTGAGGCTGTGGGGGGCCAGTGAGGTCCGGTCCCGGGCACCACCCTTAGTGGAATATGGGGCCGTGCAGGGTCCCGGCCCTACCGACGTGCTTCTCAGCAAGGGGGCGGGGTCCTGCGACTCACCGATCTGACTCCCAGCTGTGTCCCTAGTAACAGGCGGCGGGAGAGAAGTGTGTGTCACATGCCCCGCCCCCTACACACAGTCTGTCTGGGATCATGTGGGGCTCTGGCCATGTTGTGTGGCCAGTGTGATCCGCGCACCCCCTCTTGGGATAAAATCTTGCACCAGGGCCCTGTGTTCATTAGGTCCGCCACTGGTTTAATCCACGCTTGGCTTTATTTAACCTGAGACTGCGCGCTATTGGTAATATTGCAAATCCAGGGGCCCATTTACACTGATGTTTTGACATCCATTCTGGGACATCTATCAGACAAATAAGTTGTACATTGGAAGTTAAATTATTTTATTTTTTATAGTGCAGCCAAGTGAGATTGTCCTACTAAGCACCGGTGCACATGTATTAAGTCATTTAGCCAAATATGTATACAAAAAGATCCAGTGAATGTTCCCTTGTAAGTCTATGAGCCCTTCTACATGCTGAGTTACATCTGTTGTGGTGTGAAGTATAGTGAGAAATACCACACAGTTTACAGTTATTTTAAGAATTGTATCCAATAAGTCTTGTGTTACCTGCTCTAGGAAGGATTCCCTCTCATCCATAAGTTTCTTCATCCTGATTTCTTCAGATAGAAAATACAGTCAGAAAGGAAAGATAAGATGGAGAGATTGAGGGAGGTTAGGAAGAAAAATTGACTGAAAAGCTTGAATAGAAATGATTCTGGTAAATATTGAACTGGTATGAAAAGTAAACATATCAGTTAATACTGACACACCGTCCCCATTTATGTGCCGGTGTTTTTTGTTTTTTTTGGTACATAACTTGTAGATTTTGGTGGAAATCAGGCCAGACTGAAGGCAAAAATAACACACAAAAAAGCAAGCATTAGTGCATGCATATATGGTGCAGCTTTCCAAAGGGTTAACCAGTCAAGTATTCAAGTATAATGGGCCACTATTATACTGTTTAAAAGGTGAAATCTAGGAAAACAGCATAATCCACCATTAAAAGTGCGCCATTGAAATGTATATATTAATGTTGCTTTACCAGTCAGTTTCTGAATTTCAGTGAAGCCAGCCCTGATATTTACACAGCTCGGTCAGGCAATGTACTCAGCTTGATGGCCTGACTTTTCTCTGCTGCAGCTAAGCAACAGAGACTGGTCACCTTTCTGTCCCAGCCTGTGACTGGACAGTGATGTTGAAACAGCCCGAGGAAGTTATTTCTCTACTTCCCTCCTGCCAGCATGTCAATGCAGAACACCTAATTGGCAGCAAGTACTGCTCCTTCCTCTTCCCATTTCAAGTGCTGCTGTACAGGACACTACAAAAGGCTGAAATCAAGTCACTATCGAGTATTTATATTAACTGCATTTCAAACAAAGTATGGCTTTGTATGACTACATAATTGCATTTATTTGTTTTTGTATTTTTTATATCTTCCTAGAGTTCAGCTTTAACTTTCAAAAAAAGGCTTGACATAACGTAGGGTGGGACAGGCATTCAATTTACGGACCGACAGGATTGAGGTGTGCGTTTGTGACCCATGCACATACAATTCTGGACAGCTGTCACCCAAAGCTTTGCAAAACACAACAGATTCATCATTGTGTTCACAATAGTTGTTCACTTAAATATTCATACAATTACTCAGTATTCAGGGACATGTTTTCTACTTTTGGGCAGCAGAAAGAATAGGGATTTATCAAATCAAACTGCGATCTTAGAGAAAATCTGTTTTATATGTCACTGCTCCTATATTGCATTATACTTTAATCTTCAGCAAATCTGGTAATTGTCCCTTAGTGATTGTATATTGGAATGTACACTGCTGGTCCAATATAAGTCACCACCCGGATTTAGCTAAGTAAATAGGTAAAAACCTTCCACTGAATAACAGGTCTAGCTTCAGCAACGTTGTATGACCAACAAATGAGGTCAGCTGCCTACTTGAATATACTGAATGACCAGGTTTATCCATCAATGGATTTTCTCTTCCCTGATAGCACGGCATATTCCAAGATGACAACACCAGGATTCATCGGGCTCAAATTGTGGAACAGTGAATCAGGGAGACATCATTTTCATAAATAAAGATTGGTCACCAGACCCCAGACATCGAGGCAGTCACAACAGCACAACTAAAGGCACTCATGAAAGAGGACTTGCACAACTGCTTCAGAAAGTGGAAAGAACGATGGGATAAGTGTGTTTGACGCACGGGGACGTTTTTTGAGGAGGGTGTGTCTTATTGCAATTAAATTTATTTTAATATTCGAGCGTTTCGTGTTTTGTTGTCTTACCTCGTATACAGGCCATTCCTACATGTATTATTATAATCATAATATGTATATTAAAGTATCTTAAGCTGTCCAGGGAAGTATGTTTGCTTGATTAACCTGTGAAGTATAATGCTCTGGATAATAAACATTTCTACCTCATAAAAGCCCAGAGCGGAGCTTCAGGTAAACCACTAAATACACATCTGAAAGGCATACTTTATGCGGGAGCCGTTGTACTTGCCAAAGGATCTGTAATGCTACTTCACCAATCCTGTGCTCCGAAAAAAACTTCAAGGGAGCACAGCAAAGTCCTAAGTCCTTGACCTCCACTACAGGAGCACACTCACCCTCCCTCCAAGAGCACTGTGCAGGTGATCAGGCGATGGCAGATGAGGAAAGTATCAAGACAAATTAATTTACTTGGGTCATTTATAAACTCAAAGAGGGGAATTGATCAAAACTGGAGCAGACGCCAAGGGCAACAAATCAGCTTCTCTCTTCGGTTTGTTCAGATAAGATTTTGAAATGAAAGAAAGAAGCCGATTGGTTGCCATGCACAGCTGCTCCAGATTTTGATAAATCCCACCCAAAGTGTTTGGCTACATAAAGACTTCAGTGACATTTCCTGCTGCATTAAAATTGACTGGCGAGGATAAATTCAGAGCTCTCCCTCTCTCTCCAATTGATTTCAATTTAGCAACCTTGCCAGTCGTCTATGATACTACAGTTCACACTATATTTGGCAACCTATTATCCTTTAATGCTTTGTCAAAATGAATGATACAAAGAGGATTTTTTGTGTGAAATTGTTTCCTTTATTTTATTGTACATTAAAACAGCAATAAAATTATCTTAAAAAAAAAAAAAAGAAGCTTTGGAATTCTGCATTTCTAATCTCTTCAGGAAACCAATAAAAGGCACCACTGTAACCCCCTATATTCCATACAGTGCAGTGAAGTAAACAGAAGTATTAAATCTGCCAATAGTCAGGCAAGTGAAATTCCATATTCTGAGCAGCTCAGGATTTTCCTTCTTAGCACTGTAATAGGCCAACTGCATGTCAGGTGCACAACAAATGATGCAATACAGACATTTGAATGCAATGTGCTTGACAAATGAAACAAGAAAAGACATTCAAAGAATAAAAAGTATTTATTTCCTTTATATACAGCTTGAAATAGCGGTACAGTTTTTCTCTTGTCCAAAAGTATATATGTATAAACTCTCTTCCCATTTCAGCAGCATTGTAACAGACAGTGTATACAAAAGCAAAGCCAATCTATTATGTGAATGTCTGCAGTGCAAAGAGGAACGCAGTCGATGCATATAGTACAACTTGTATCTTAATTCACAAAGCTGACTGTGGTCGATTAGCTATTACAAAAATAAAAAAACTGAACTCCACTCTTCCACTAAACCTCAGGAGTAAAATGTCCACTGCAACCAATATTAACTATACAGCTGATGATACATGTTTAGCTTTATATGGGTAATGACAGTGATCATATTCTACCACAAGGTGGTGACACAATACTGCATACAATGATATTTTAAGGATAGATTGCTAAACAACCACAAACTATAAAAAGCTTTTAGTCTACATTACAGTTCTTTTTCGTAAGGAAAAAGGGATTTTACGCATGATCCATTTTAATAGTACACAGCACATTACAGCAGCGAGATAGATTTTCCAGGCATTTGCCATCAAAAGGCTATAATCTAGTAGATACTGGGTTTCAACAAAGCTGTAATAAGGAATCTATTACGTGCTTACAGTTGCAGTGTGGATTCTATTTGTTAAATTATAAATCCCCGGCTTGTATACCGATGTCAGCAGAAGTAGAAAACAGCTATACATATGGAATAAGATCTTTTAATGAATTTACTGTTTAAAAAAAGAGATGTCTACACTCAGCTAGTATTTCACAGAAGTAAATGAAAAGGTCTATACTCAGATAGGTATTTCATAGAAGTAAATGAAACAGTGGCTGCTAATTTTTTATATATACAGTGGTACCTCGGTTCATGAACTTAATTCGTTCCCCGATTCTGGTCGCGAACCGAATTGGTGGCGAGCAGAATCAAATTTTCACATAAGGTTCAATGTAAATGAGGTTAATACGTTCTGAACCATATGTAAATTCATTACCGCTCTGCACTTTTTTACCACCGTGCTTGCTCTGCACTTTCTTTGGGAGCAATGCTGGATTGAATAATACTGTATAGTACTGTATGTGCTAAAAAGCACACAAAAAAAAGCTTCACAGCAAGTGTGCACAGGTCTGTCTGCGAACGCAATCTCGACTAGAGGAAGCCACAACCACGTGTCAGGGGTCGTGTTCATCACCCAATTTGGAGTTCGCGAACAGAAGCAAAATTTTGCTGAGCTTCCTGTTCGCGAACAGAAGCGTTCTTGAACCGAGGTATTACTGAGATATATATATATATATATATAGAATATATTTATTTATTTCATGCCTAAAGGCAGCTAACCAGGCACATACGCAAAACCAACAATCCTATTGAGAGCTGGAGGTTTTGCAAGGGTGGAAAAAAATAAGGCAACGTTCAATTTTGAACAGGTTATATTTATGCAAGATTTAATTTTGCATAAATGATGGGGCCTAGTGAAAGAGAATTGCAATAGAGGATTGGGCTGAGAATGTGCAGCTTGTAATGTACAGCTTGTAATAGCTGGCTGAGAAGGCTTGCATCTGAGATTACAGCAAATAGGTGCACATTTCTAGAACACTATCAAATATTTCTGCTGTTGTGCAATTAATTGTTCAGATGCTGGTAGCTTATGCCAAGACATTTACTTCTCAGTGAATGTATATTTCAATTCCACTTATCCATACACAACTATTAAAATGGATTTCATAGTCTATTTATGCGCAATTTAAAATGAACATGGAATGTGAAATTATGACTATACAAGGCTCCAGTGACAAGTAAGAAATAAATAACCCCTTCCCACACTATACTAATTTCCTTTCTTTCTCTGCAATTTACGACTAATGTAGTAACAGTGTAAGAAATATTTAATCAAACTAAAAAGAAATGAGATACCTCTGTTCAACATAGGATCCTAGATAAAATAGAATTTATAGAAGATGGAGATTTAGCAATCTAATTAAGGCACCAAAATAATGGAATCCGTAGTTAAAAGAACTATGCGGTAACCTTTTATCTCATAGTTATCTTTAGGGTCATGGGAGGACCACTATTGCCCACTATATGCTGAGAGCGCCAGAGCCGGGACAGATCCCGACAATACAGCGGTTCTGTCTATCTAGAGGAAGAGCCAGCTGTGCTCGGCACCCTCTCCTGTCCATCACTCCAGTCAGCGCTGGAGGATCGGAGAGGGGAGGATCCCTGCGGGGATCGGTGACTGACTGTCACTGCTCTCGGCAGGGAGAGGATCGGTGGTACGAGTTCGCTCACTTCCCGATCATTAGAGCCGACACGTGACAGTTTCAATGTCACCCGTCGGCTCTAACTATGGAGAAGTGTAATTCCCTCACCCCATAGTTCCCCTTTAATCTTAATAAGGATCTGCAAAGAACGATGAAGTCCGAAATGGAGTAACCCATAGCAACCAATCAAACTTTACTTTACCAGTTCACAACACTTAATATGGAATATTATTTCTGGTTGGATGCTACGGGTTATTACTACATGTTTTTCATTAAATACGCCTATAAATAGATTACTTTTCTCACAAAATCATGCGGTAGAGCCAGCGGATGGGCCATATTCCTAGAATACATTAAACACATTAAGATGATATATTGCACACAAAGAGGAAATAAAAGTGCAAACCAATAAAATCATGAGTACTGTTTCAAAGGAATGAGCTCTAATAGATAAATAGATCCTCTTTCAACCCTGGGCTGCAGCAAAACAGTGGAATTAAAACAAAAAAACCTTCCTTCTACTTTAAAAAGACTGAAAAAAGATTCAGACTGTTATACTGATGGTTCAGGGCTGTGCTCCCAACAGCTGAATATTAAAAGGAACTACCTAGTGCAATAGGATAAACTCTTGAGGATAATCAGCAGTGCCACATAGGGTTTACAAAACACAAACATTTTGTTTTTCAAGAAACCACACAGTCCTCTTTATTTTTGCCTTTTCCTTTTCTAGAAGCTTTATCTAAGCCTTCTTCCATCCGTATATCATCTGCAGATGCTTGGTCCACTGATGATCCCAATGGTAGACTTTCTCCAGTATATTTTTCACTTCGTACAGCCACATCTTCTTCATTGTCATTGTTGTCATCAGATTCTTCCCCCTCTGTAGACTCACCCTCGCTACTCAAAGTCTCGCTCGGAATAGTTTCTTTTGAAGTTTCGGCAACAACTGGGACGTTGTCATTTGTGTTTTTTCTCTTGCCTGGATGATCATGATCTTCATCCAATAACTCAGTGGATGGTACATCTGGTAAGACAGGATTTGTGTTTTCATCCACGTCACACAATGGATGATCAGACATTTTGTCTGGTTTTCCTTCATCTAATAACTCTGTATCTGGTACATCAGAGAAGGTTGTTTTTTCATTGGTTTTCTCACTCTCGTCATGCTCTAGATTGTCAGAAAATGTGTCTTGCTCTCCTTGAGCCAATAACTCAGTCCCTGGTGCATTTAGGAACACAGTATTCATTTTTCCATTATCTGGACTTTCTTGATCGGCATTCACACTTCCAGCATCTGCTAGATCTTCATGTTGGTCCAGGTGACTAAAACTATCCTCAAAAACTTCACTGTCTCTTAGTGATTCATCCTCAACTGTGCTTTGCATGCTCCTTCCAATGCAAGGCTCTGGAACCTCACCAAAGTTATTGTTTTCACTGTCAACTAGCTCTTTCTCCTCTTTTGTAAGTTGAATGTCTTGTGATGACTGCTCAGGAGTTATATCAACCTTTTTCTCCTCAACTACATCATGAGTATCAGTGTGAAAGGCTGTTTCTGTAGATACAATCTCTTTCTCAGGAGTTGTGTAGTTTGCATTACTATCTCTTATTTCAGAATCATCCTCTCTGCACTGTAACCCGGATTCAACAGGGACATGTTCCTCAGGCTTTACTTCCTCCTCACACATTTTCTCATGTTCTACAGCTGTGGTGGCCATCTCATCAGAAGTACTCTCTTGTGAATCATATTGACTAGAATCATGGCTGCTTGTTTCCTGCTCATCTTTTAAGTCTGTGTGGAGGTCACTCGTATCATCTGTAATGGCGGTGGTATTGTCTCTACACACTGACATCTCCAGAGCACCATTGTTGGGATCACTCTTACTTTCAGCAGATGTGCTCTGCACTTCATTTTTGTCTTCCTCCTTATTGAAGTATTGTTTGCCAATATTATAGTCTTCATTCTCAAAATCACTGCCAGAAACTGCTAGTTTCTCACTGGGTGGACTAGTTACACAAGGAGAGTGAACAACATTATCCAGAGCATCCTGGAAGACTTCACTTTCTACTGGGCTTGGTTCCCTCTGGTTTAGTGTTCCCTCTCTATGCACCTCTAAGAAATCTTTCTCTAAAACCTCTGTGTTCAAGTTTTCTGGTGCACATTCACCAATTGCCATTTTATTTTCATTACTTGTTGATTCTGAATCAAGTGGAAGACCTTCTCCCTGATTTTGACCGCCACTGAGGGTACCACCAGCATCTACATCATCATTTGAATTGCTAGCAATTTTGTGAATATCGACATCATTTGAATTGCTAGCTATTTCCTGAATGTTTTGCTCCTTTATTTTATCTCCAAGCTCTGCATTTAGTGGTGTTTCTGATGGAGCAGTCAGTAGTACTTCCTGATTGTCCTGCTTAGGCTTGGATGGGGGGATTTCACCCACCACTGACATAGTTTCCTTTTTCTCCACTGCTTCCTCTGATGGGCCTAAAAAATTATGGACAAGAAAATGAAGAATATGCACAATATCTAAGCCCACATGCCCAAAAGAGCTCAAAAAGAGATAGAGCAGAAGATGAGGAATCAACGTTTCTGCCCAGGAAGATTAGGTAGCAACAGGTTGGACAGTGCAAGAGAAAGGTCATCCTAGATAACAGCTGTATAAAAAAAGGAAAGGTTAACCAAAGCAGGTAACAGATAATTTGGGGTTTTTTAAAGGGCATCTGTTATGAGAGAACTATTGTGGGTTGCCACTGTTGGCCTCTTTCTGAAAATGATAGTTGGTTGGTTGTGTCTGGTTCCACTACTCTTCGTCTCCGAATAAGAACGCAACACATCATTCAGTGTCTCAGAAAGAACTCAAACTGAAAACGATAGCATGAAAGCCAGAAACCTAGCCAGGAATGGCAGATAATATATATTTCTTCTGTGACAGGTTTGCTTTAAAGTCAAAATGCTGCTTAGCAGACTGCTGTAAGACGGATGGATGAGCCACATGATTAAAACCTATATACTGATACTGTTTAAAAGAACACTTCTGTAAATAGCCAGAAACGTGTAGTAGTTTAGAGGAGTTTGCTAGAAAAGAAAGCTCAGAAACAGAAATGTTTTAAAGCAAAAATTGCCTTTTTCCTCTTCATGTGGCAGGAGAGTATTAGGTGAAATAGTTTTCTTTTTTTCCAGTTTCTCTGGATCTGGACACGGAGGCCCTAATCAAAGCCTACAAAACAGCTGAACACTATTGCACTTAACCAGTCTTTCTCAAATTTTACCTGACAGCCATCACAGCCTTTGCCAACATGTATTTATTAGGGATGCACCGATACCGTTTTTTCGGTATCAAGTATGAGTACCAGTACCAATACTTTGCTTTCGGTACTCGTCGATACCGAGTACCGATACCGGTACTTCCGCTGCCATGGAGCCAGCTTCCCGGGCAATCTGATTGCCCAAGAAACTGGTTCCATGTTGTTTAACTTGCTCGATTGAGCATGGCCGGGAAACCCGGCTTCACAGCCAATCAGCATGGAGCCGGCTTCCTGCCCAATCAGGAAGCTGGGAGGCAGGTCATTACTTGCTCCCCAGCTTCCTGATTGCACGGGAAGCTGTCTCGGGAAGCTGGCTCAATGCTCCCCTACGGCACTGCCGGTCAGAGGAAATCTTCCTCTGATCGGAAGTTCCGGTATCGGGGCATTTGGGCGAGTACGATTACTCGCTCAAATACTGGGTATCGGTGCATCCCTAGTGTTTATGTAATTCACAGTCCAGATGCAATCTTGGCAGGTTTCAAGTACCACAAACCTATACCGTGGAAGCAAAATGCTTCAGCTTGACCCCTCTGTCTCTTTCCCCTGCTTCCCTGAATCTCAGCTATAGTCTCTCTTTTTTGATGCCACACAGCCTCAGAGATCTGACATGTAATCAAGAAACTTCTCTCGCCAAAAGGATTACTAAATCTCACAGCAGCAGTCACTTGCAGTCCATGTTTTTAATGATATTCACAAACACAGAATATTCTAACGCTTTTGAGTAATACCAGCTATGGTCACCTTCCAATCCTAATTTCATAAAATAAGCCCTGTACCAACATGCGCTAGGATGTTTACTACAATAACTATGTTTCAAACGTTACAAAACAATGCAAATCCAACCTCTAAGATCACTGTGTCATCCTTCCTAAGCAGAATATAAAAGGAAGTTAGACCTCCTAAACCAGACTCTGCATTTAAAGGAAAAACAAAGACGATAGATGGCATCTCTGCCATATCTCAGACATAACTGTTAGCATTCCTCTAAGATGTGTTTATGAACAGAGTACCCCCACCCCTTATATTCCGTAACAGAACGTGCTACTAAATGATAGAAAACTAATAATTACCAGGTATAAGCAGAGCAATCCAGAGAAGACAATCTTCACTAAATGGAACATCTGAATACTACCTCTGACACTTGTTTTATAGTCTATTTTGTCTTTATATGACTGTCTGCTTTAACTTTGGAGGAGGGCAGCTGTTTTGTATCAAAAATACCCTTACAAGGCAACGAGCAAGGACAGTTACACAATGCACAGCAAGCAGGGTTAGTGGAAAGCTACCAAGCTCAGAACAGGATTTGCTAGAAAGAAATCAGAGAGAATGACCAACAAAATCACTTACCCATTGATGTTGCCCTTATGGGTGGATCTGGTCGGCCGTCCGGATTTGCAGGAGGTTCTAAAGAAGCATCTCCATTGGGAGTGCCCACAGAATCCAGCACTATGCCGTGTTTCTAAAGAGAGAAGAACAAATTATGCACCATTTGCAAGGTGACCTACATCTCTTCAATGTTAAAAAAAAAAATAACTCTGGAGAAGAAAAGAACATAAAACACAAAAAAAAAAAATATATAAAACAATTATTCTATAGCTGATCAGCTAAACACATGAGGTAGTAATAGTAAACATTTTTCTTACAAAGTATTATATGTCAGTGTTTTGTGACTGCTCTCATCCAGGGCTTTTAACTATGATGTGCTGATGTGCAGTAGTTACCTTTCCACACTAAAGGATTAAATATTTACAATTGATCCCTTATAAATTACACATCTATACAACAACTGAGGAGAGTGGAATGTAAGCCCTCTCAGTGGCTACAGAGCAGGATTGAGAAACACTGCTGTAACCAAACAATGTTTTACCAACATATGTTTTGTTTCATAATCAATAAAGTCTTGTCTGTCGCTTTCTCTTTTATAAATGGCAGTCTTTTGCCTTTTTAATCTTAAAAGCTAGTGAAACAAATTTAGTCTCCTAGCTGCTGACAACACACTGTGGGAGGCTCTGCAGCATGACAGCTAAAGGGCGACTCTTGTTAAAGGTCAGACTGTATTTAGAATCACAGCAACCCAACATCTGTCTGAAAACAGAGAATTTGTATAAATCAGAGGGACTTAATCAGAAATGTTTGGCAAGGATGCTTACTTGTGAAATACACAAAGCACATAATTAAAAAGCAGAAATATTTATATCAACACAAAAATAACCCTATCGTACCTTTAGTTCATCCCTTAGGCGGGTCACCTCTTCCCTGAGGGTGTCTCGCTCACTGCGAACTGGTTCAAAAAACTCTTTTTGTCTCTCTAGAGCCTGGACTTCCCCAGATAAGAGGCGGAAGATACAAGGAGACGTGGAAGAAGGCAGAAAAACAAAAGAAGTGAATTCATAGGAAGGAAACGTAAGAAACAAGTACAGCTGTAAGTGCACAGAGATGCAGCATAAAAACCTAGATAGGTTTGGGTATTGTATTGCAATGCCTCTTCACATAATTAATAGGGGGTCAGCCACGGTTCAGGGCATGTCTTATATTTCTTGACACACAGGGCAGCTAGGGACACAAACTTTGTAACTAGGTATGTTCAGCTACCAAGTACTGTACTCGGTACAAGTACAGATATTTTCCAGCTCCAAGACTAGACTGGAGAAAAATCCAAAAGCTAGGAGGCAGCTGTCATTTGTAAGGAGCACACGGAGCTCCTGGGATTTGTGAATTCCTGTTTTAATGTATGATTATA